GTCAGCTGGAATCCGTTCCCCCTTGTCCTGTCATTACATACTCTGACGGCCCCTCACCAATTTTTTGGGCCTTCAGCCAAAAATACTGACCAAGCTCTGCAAAGAACTTGCTAGATTTGAAGGCGTGCTGGCAAAGACAAGAATAATATAATGGAATGGAATATAATGGAAGTTCCCAAAGCAGGAGAACATTTCCATCTTCAGGAGCTTGCTCTGGGCTGCTGCTGCTGCTGCAGGCACTGTGAGCTCATGAGGCTCCTATAATCTTACAGCACTGAAAAGAGGTAAAATTGTAGGGCAGTGTGGGAGTGGGAAAGGTCACCTTGGGAAGGACCAGGGTATTCCCTTACAGGAATTTTCCCTGACAATGGGACCTACAGGAGGGCTGGGCTTGGAGCCCACACACCCCCGGAGGGTCACGGGAATGTACTCAAGGATTCAGAGAGGAAAGAGTGAAAAAACACTACTTGGTAGGTATCACTTCAGCCCTGGGAGCTGCACTATGAATGTTTGGCCCAATTTCACATGTGGTTTCAGTCACAGGAAAACAACTTGTGAGGGATTTTTATTGTTTGCTGTTGGAGTACTTTGGTTTTTTTCTCCTTTTCAAACCTTGTTCTGCTCCACTCCTACTTTATTTTTAGCAATTATGGAAATTCAGCACTGATGAAAGATGTTAAAATGAAATGTGAAGTCTTTTATTTGCTTTTTATTTCTATTGTCTTGTTTTGTGTTGACAAATTTGCAGCTAACCATTGGCTGTTTTGGAAACATTGCACCTCCAGCCTGCCGGGTGGCTTTGCTTGGGTTTTGTCTCTGCTGTTTTGGTTTTGTCTCTTGTCAGCTGCAGCTCACCAGCCCTGGAAGAAAAACGAGAGCAGAAGATATTCCAGAACTGTGAGGATCAATCTGTCTCCTCTTGCTCATGGCTGGTTTCACGGGGAGGATGATCCCAGAAGCTCCCTGTCCTTAGAGGATCCATGCAGGCACTCAGGGATGAAAGGCACTCCTGACAAACGCTGGAACACTTCAGCCTCTCATGAAGTGCTGGAAAATCTCTCATTCCCATCACATTTTAATAACAGCAAGATCAGAAGCGTAGGGACTCGGTGTGAGGAGAGAGAAAAACTAAAGCCTGTGCGGCTGAGCACAAAAGGATCCACAGCAGCAAAAGTTCTCCAAGTCCTCAGGGTCTCAGAGTGGAAGCTGGATGTTGCTCAGAAGCAAATTGTAATTATTTCATCTGTTCTCTGGGGAGAGTAAGGAACATGAACCCTCCTGATGGAGGTACACAAATGATGCACAGAATTCCAGGAAAAGGAGCCATGAGAAGCAGTGGGCAGGATACACTAGAGAGCTGTCCCAGCTCGTTGGAAATCAGCTGGTTTTCCTGAATTCCAGCACCACACGGCCAGAATCCCAGGGCTTTATTAAGGGGAGGTTATCCTGACAGATAACCTGGTTTCAGTTCTAGAAGTCTGTAGAATTTGGATGCTTACCTTTTGCTCTCGCTTCAGTGAATTGTGTTGGGAAACATTTAGCAGAAGAAAATAAGTTGGATTTAACTCTCATTTTCACAGACATTCATGCCTTAACAAAGGGCAAAGATTGCCACATCAATGCAAAAGGAATATTTCCATTTTCCGACCCCAAAGCAGCAAGGGTTGGTTGTATAATTAAGTTTGCACTCATTTGTTTTCCCGCACTCTGATGCTTTTCTGGAGCACGTCACAAGGCAAAAGGGACTCATGATGGATAGTTGGGATTGATCCCTGCGAGGCCTCCCAGCACTGCCATTTTACACACCAAACCTTCACAGAGCAGCGCAGCTCCTTTCAGCACCACACACCAAACCATAACACCCCTCCTTCACTCACGCTTCTCTTTGCTGCAAGTATAAGCCAAAATTACATGGAGTATTTTGAATTAATATCCCGCAGGATGAGTAAAGGTTTATTTCGGCATGGGGGATGATGCAGAAGATCTGTTCTGTTGACAGCTCTGAGCAGAAGCTCCCACAAGAAAGTAAAGATTTTACAGAGTCTCCAACAACTACAGTGAACTGTGGGAGAAATGAAGGAGAACGCAGGAATTGTGATTCCCTGATGGAGAGGGGGAATCCCAAAGCACCCTTCAGGGAAGGAACATGCCCTTTATGAGACACCTGTGTGGACACTGGAGGTATTTTACGGACGGCTGACATTCCCGTGGGCATTTCAGATCTTTCAATGGATTGCTGAGCTCCCCTCTCGGAGCTCTCTGGACCTGGGAGGGCTCAGCAGGGCCCTGCTCCAGAGCCATCACAGCACAGGCTCTGCAGGAACCACTGTGCATAGGGACAGGAGGGACAGCGAGGGACAGGGAGAGACATGAGGGGACAGGGAGGGACAGTGGGGTCAGGAGAGGAAAGAGAGGGCCAGGGAGGGACAGTGGGGTCAGGGGAGGAAAGAGAGGGACATGAGGGGACAGAGAGCGACAGTGGGGTCAGGAGAGGAAAGAGAGGGCCAGGGAGGGCCAGTGGGGTCAGGGGAGGAAAGAGAGGGACATGAGGGGACAGGAAGGGACAGTGGGGTCAGGAGAGGAAAGACAGGGACATGAGGGACAGGGAGAGACATGAGGGGAGAGGGAGGGACATGAGGGGAGAGGGAGGGACAGTGGGGTCAGGAGAGGAAAGCAAGGGACATGAGGGGACAGGGAGGGACAGGGGGGTCAGGAGAGGAAAGAGAGGGCCAGGGAGGGACAGTGGGGTCAGGGGAGGAAAGCGAGGGACATGAGGGGACAGGGAGGGACAGTGGGGTCAGGAGAGGAAAGAGAGGGACAGTGGGATCAGGAGAGGACATGAGGTGGCAGAGAGGGACAGTGGGGAGAGAGAGGGACATGAGGGACAGTGGGGTCAGGAGAGGACATGAAGGGGCAGAGAGGGACACGAGGGACAGGGAGGGACAGTGGGGTCAGGAGGGATGGGGGGAACACAAGGGGACAGAGAGGGACATTGGGGAGAGGGAGGGACACAGACAGGACAGGGAAGGACACAAAGGGACAGCCCCGGTCCCGCCCCTCAGGGCGCGGCGCGGTCCCTTTAAGAAGCTCCTGGTCACATGACCTCGAGCGGCACGTGGCCCCACCGCCAACATGGCCGCGCCCAGCCAGCCCCGCCGCTGCCTCTTGCCGCTGCTGCTGCTGGCAGTGGGAACGGGAACGGCGGCGGCCGCCGGGACCCCCGGCACCGCGGGCTGCGGCTGCAGCGCCGGCCGGGCTGCCGGGGACGGGCGGGAGGCGGCGGCGCGGCGCTACTCGGCGGCGGCGGGT